ACACAAAAGGCCACACCATCTTGGTCTTCATACCTTTGATTAATGCTAAAAACAGTATAAAAGGATAAAAGGTACGCACACTACGCCCTCTACATGAACCGCAAAACCAATACATTCTTTTAATTCACATGTGTGATCTAAGTCCGTTTCCGATCCACAAGCCTGATCCAATTTGGGTAATCGCTGAAGTACAATCTTTATGCTTTGATTTTTGAATGTATTTGAATGCGTGAATTTTCGTGATTAACCAGCCCAAAAAAATCAACAAACCGTCTAAATGCCTTTTTATCAATTAAAAGTTTGTAAAAACCATTAACTATACATAAGTAGATGGAAGAAATTTAACCTGTAAATACAAAAAAGCAATGATGCCGCAAGCTCTCAGACATAAACAAGAATAAGACTAGAAAAAATACAAACTGAGTCAATCTAAACGAACCTGATAGTAGCCACATGGTGATAACAGGGGTAAATTTCAAACATCTGAATCATTGCTGAATTTAGTTTGGGAATGAAGACAATGCATTAGATGCTTTAGGACAAATATCAATGTGGCCTTAGGCATGGTAATGATCTTCTAAATGGGCTATCACCCAGAATCGACTTTTATCTCCTGAGAGCGCATTTAAATCTACCCATTTAAAATCGCACTAAAATATCCATTAGAAAATAATGATGAATTGATTCCGGTGGGGATCTTACGTAGGAAACAAGGCAATAAGAAAACTTATTTTAAATTATAAAATCACAACAGAGCATTTTAATGGTTTTAATTATGGTTGAAGCTTTTGAAGAATTGGGAGTTAAGGACCTGAAACAATCACAAATCGTACATGCATTTAGTGAAGGACGCATGGTTTACAGTTAGAAACAATAACATAATATAATCACTACAAGGTTTGTCTACTAATAACCCTAATAGAGCAGCTAAACGAGAGCAACCATAAGATATCCAAATGAACATCGATTATCCGTAAAAAGAGAAATAGTAGAACCGAGAGATAGGCGCTGCAACAAAACGAGGTCGGCCCGCCACACCCCCATTAGGTATAAGTTGGGAATAACTTTAGAAATACGGCGAAAGCCAAGCCGCACTACAGTCCGACTAAACTCGGCCAAACCAGGCGAGAAGCGCCTGACAGGCTTCACGGCAAGGAACGGACCTGGCGGCACGGAAGCAAAGCCGTTGGGCACATGCGCCACTTGCTGGCAAGGGCCCGGGGAGTCAACCCAGAGCCGGGCTGCGACTAACGCACTGATATTTAGCTCCGAAATCACAATGACGAGCCGACGTGAAAGCGTGGAACCAAGATGAATATCAATATAGGTTAAGCATAAAGACCAGAACAACCAAATTATGTAAGTAAAAAAATTCATGCCAAAAGGCGAATTAATGGAAATTAATTATATAAATACGGTAAATAGTGTTTATATCATAAACCATTTAGGCTTTCAATTATTTACTATATAAATATACAATTACGCAGTCTTTAGTTGATATAAGTAGTATGATTCATAAATTATCATAATGTAAATAACTCAAGTTAAACGTAGCCTTCTATCCACTACTATTACTAGAATTAGGGTTAGGGGACTTTTAGTTCGCATTGAAGTGAATGAAGAAGAGATTGGTTGGTCGATCTCACCAGATGAGGACGGATGAATCTCGTTGTAATGCTGCCGTTTGGCTTTTATACGATATTCATTTTGACGCAGTCCACGAGACTTCCTCCTTCGTTTCTAATTTCACTCACATTCGTCCAAAATGTTAGAGTAAGCTCATCAACCAAACCAGACATGTCAGATTATGCGACCCCAGTCTTGCCTTTCCTTGGACAGTCAAACGTTAATGACCCTAGACTGAAAGGTTAGGACAAATGGTTTCATAACTTGATTTTCATGCTTACAAGC